AATGTTTTAAACTTTTTTTTTTTTTTTTAATCCCAGTAAGCATTCCTGGAAACTTCCATCTGTAGTCAGTTGCATGCTCCCATGAGAACAAACTGCTGATTAGTTGAAGATTAGAGTCTGATCAATGACTTCTACCCAGTAATTTACTTCATTTCTTTGGTATTTACTCCGTTCTGGTAACCTTGCCAGCCATTGAGCAATAGACGCAAATAACATTTGATCTTTTCTTTCCTTTGAGACCCAATATCTGAAAGAAAGATGTACACTTAGAATTTGGAATTTCACTGATTTGGCTGAGAGATCGCCTTGAGAATGTCTAGCTGTGTTTCCAAAGCATTAGCAGTCACCTCAGGCACCTGAGGTTCTAGTTAAAATGTAGATTCCTGATCCTAATCCAGAAATGCCTATTCATTAGGGCTGTGTTAGGGCCCTGGAAACTTTAAAATGTTCCCTGGATGACATTAATGAACAAAAATCCTTCTTGGGCTGAGAAGTACTGATTTCCTTGAAGCACAGGGGTTTTGGAATAGTTTATAGAAGAGATAATTTTGAAGGTGGTATATTGGTTTTGTATTTCTTAGAGAGTATATGTGAGGACAAAGGAAGGAAAGCAGGATGAGTGGGGTGGATTGGAAGTAATGGTGAAAAAAAAGATTACCATAAATTTACAGATTTGGCTTGTGGTATTTTATAATAGTACCTCTATAGCTTAAAGATAAGCAAGTTCTAAGTCTGAAATAATCAGCATAAACGTACCATATATTTTGGAAACTAGGGACTGTAAAGGGTAGATGAGACTTTGAAAGTTTAAATTGCTAAGATCTTTCTGTCATCCTAATTTTCCCTGCTACATGCAAGGCTTTCAGAGTCCGTTGGTTGATGTGTATATACAAAGTACAAGGTACCAAAAAGCTAAAGAAAAAGAAAGTGGAGAGATGTGGGATTTAAATCTTAGCTGAGGTAGCATGAATTGGCAGCATGAGTGAGACATAATCAAGAAAAATGAAGGGCATACTTATGTTTTAATTAAACAAATAGCATTATTTTAAAATCTTGAATTAGTTCAGTTGGTTGGTGTTTTGTGTCTGAATCACAGCACTATGACTTGGATTCTTAAAATACAAGTACTTGCTTTTGTAGAACACTTGGTAATATATTTCCTTTCTTATGGTTGTTTTAAAATCATGGTTATTAGACTTCTACTGTTAGCTGTGAAGGTGTCATGTAATATTTTTTTATTTTAAAATACTCAAAGTACACCCTTACTTGATTTCATAGTAGTGCTGTAGGTATTAAGTGGTAATTGTTCTTAGAATGTATGCTGGCTGTGTTTTGAAGCAAGAACATTTCTCATTTTAAAGTGGTCATGTCTGTTTCACTAGATATGTTCTATTGTTTTGTAGTTCTTTTAGCACAATTAACATTCTCTGTCTTATCTTTTTTAAGGGTCTGAAAAGTCCTCCGGAGAGCCTCAGTGATCTTGGTGCCATTGAGAGTCTTCGGGTCCCCGGAAAGGTATTGATCTACTTGTGTGGTGACATTTCACTTCCCTAGCAACACTATTACTGCCTCCGGGTACTGACTGATTAACGGAAGCTCTGCCTTCCACAGGCAGGTGGTTATGATAAGCTGGGTGGATATGGGTAGCACGGTAGGCAAAGGTTGTTCTTGCTTTCATTATTCAGGGATGTGGTATGATTCAATATAATAAAGAGAAAACTGCAAAATTAATAAGGTTAGAGTTTAGTACATCAAATTCTTGGCTTGAAGGCAGATACACACACACACACACACACACGCACACATACACACATACATATTTAACTTATTTGCTGTAGTTTGAAGAAGGTAAATAGTTTACTACCTACTTTTTATGCCGTTACATTCTGAGCTCCAAAGTACTGTAGTTAATTATGTTTTTCATTTGAGCAGGGGTTTTTGAATAAACAGTGAAAACAGCATAACAGCATATGCTAAATCTGATATATGTCAGATTTTAATTCCCTAATATTCATGTGAATGTCCCAGTTTACAAGTTTAATGCACATCATTTGAAAGCTAGCTTCTCCTTGGAGAACTATTAACCATTGTTAATCCCTACTGTCTCTAGAGTGTTGCTGTTCAGAGCTGTGGTGTGAATCCAGCTTTGCCACAGATAAAGGCTCCCAAAAGTCTGCTTTTAGGATTTTTAATTTGAGGATCATATTTGTGTGTTGTGTGTGTGTGTGAGAGAGAGAGAGAGAGAGAGAGAGACAGAGAGAGAGAGAGAGAGAGATTTTTGCCTCACCCCACGCCCCCCTGGAGCTGGGGACTGAACTCAGGGCCTTGGTATATGCTAGATAGGCGATTTACCACTGAGGATCATATTTGACGATACTATCTATTTGCTGTGCCTAGTACCTTAATACATAAAGCTTTAATTTTTTTATTTTCTAGAAATTATATATATATCTAAAATATGGGTCACATAAGGCCATTTTTATGCATGTCTGTAATGTACTTTAAGTGTATTCCTTTCCATGCCCCATTTCCCGCCCCCATCTCTCTGCTCAGCCCTCTCATTAGTCCCTTTTGTTCCCTAGACAGTTGTCTTTCTACTGTCCTGTCATCTCTATATATCTGATTGCATATATTTATAAAGTCAAGGCCTCATAAATGAGAGAGAACATGAAATTTGTCTTTGAGACTAATTTATTTTGTTATTATGATTACTGCAATTGTGTTCATTTTCTGTAAACTATGTAATGGCTGAAAAATATCCATTATGCCTATCAACCACATTTTCTTTATCCATTTCTTTGTTTTGGACATCTAGGTTGTTTTCTAGTTTAGCTACAGTGAATAATGTTGAAGTAAACATTGATGTGCAAGTGTCTCTGGGGTATGTTGTGTGGAGTCTTTGAGGTAAATACCTAGGCGCATATAAATATCATATGAACAGGATCATATGGTCAGTCTGTTTTAGTGCTTGAGCTCTTCATAGTGGGTGGACTAGTTCATGTACCCACCAGCAGTGTATAAGGGTTCCCTTTTGTCCGCATTCTTGTCAGCATTTGTGTTGTTTCTTGATGTTGCAGTTCTTGCTCAGTTGTCTGAGGCCTCTCCTCATACCTCTGCTTAGAGGGATGGAACAGCTGCTTAGAGGGATGATCCCCATCTCTTACAGACACTTTGGCCACTGAAGTAAAATTTGCATTTACAGCTTAACCTTTATGCTAAGTTGGACCCAAAGATAGTATCTAAATACAGTAAAATTCTAAGTCTTTTTGCATGAAGTGGTTCAGACAAGAACTCAGGCATTTCACATGCAATTATTTTTATGTGACGTTATTAAAGAGTTTTGAATGTGATGAAGTTAGAAAAATAAGGAATTTATTGTGAAATCGTCTTATGGACCATCCTCTGTGTGCTTTTGAGATAATTGACCCTGGGTGGAGTGGACAGTCTGGGATCACGAGATCTGTGAATGAAAGTGGCTCATGTGAATATTATGCCTGGGCATTGGTCTTTTGGATCCCTGCTGAGAAGTTACTAGATTCTAAAGTAGTTAATAGGAGTGGTGTCAGTGCTGTAAGTCGCAGCTAGCCTTCTGATAAGAAAGCCTTGCAAGATCTTTGTGCCTGCTTTTTCTCTGCTCACTGGCAGCATCAGAAAGATGGGAGTCTGAGCAGGCCTTGTGCCCCCTCTCTGAGTGACTTTGAACATGTAAGAACTATGCAGTCCAGAATATGGTACGCTGAGTTTGATGAGAATCAGGTTTGCAGTCAGTACTGAGGTTGACAGTTAATAAGACTCATGTTCTGATTGCTTACACAGTGGCTTGGTATAACTCTAATGCAGTAGTATATTTTTGTACAACCTGGATTGATTTTATTCTTAGACCATACATATTAAATGATTTCTGTTTAGTTGCTTTAAAATTAATGTGCAGCTAGTGCTTGGTCGTCTTAAATTTGATGTCCTCAAAAGACAATCATATGGTTTTCAAGTTAGTGAAAGCATTTCAACAAAATGGAAAATACTTTGAAATGAGTTTTAAAGTAGTCTTTTTATTTAATATAAAAGCAGTATGCAATGTAAACAGAAACAAAGTTACCAAAAGAAGAAAAAAAAATCACCAGCATTGAGAAGGTTTATATTTCCTTCTTGTATTCTTGTGAGTTTTCAATAACAATTTTGAGCATCTCCTATCTGTGCTCGACAGGCTGTGAGGAAAGACAGCAGTCTTCCCTAAAGCTGAGGTTTCCCTGTCACTGCATTCACCTGGGACAGTGCACATAGCAAACACGATGATTGTAAATTATGACAAATACCACTGAAGGAAATACGGGATGAGATAAACCCAGTAAAGTGGAGCCATTTTATTTGAAATAGTAAGTGTATTCCCCTCTTGCTTTTTACAAAAGTGGTATTATACTCTGAAATTATTTCGAACTTTAGATTATGAACTTAGTAATATCTGTTGCATAGAAAATGCTCATGGTATATTCCTGGGGTTAGAAAGCAAACTATCCAATAGTGGGTTAAGATGATATTTTTATACTTAATTTATGATATTTAAGCAATTTAAATGCGTGAATGAAGAAATATTTAAATATTTTCATTTAATAACATCACTTATCAGTGTATAGGTAAAACAGAAAAATCCTTGTTCTTCAAGAATGGGCTTGCTTCATTTTCTTTTTCTTTGCCTTTCCTTCCTTTTCTTTATCATAATTATCTTCCAGGTTGGAAAAAGCAAATCTCAGTTCAAGCAAGAAATAAATGAGCTTGAGTTGTGATGTTCTGGAAGGATAAGCAGGTGTGGGAGTAGATTATTCGGGTGGATCATATATGGTGCTGCTGCTTAGGTTAAAATGCTTGAATACTGGCTAATTCTTGGTGGTTCAACTCAGTAGGAAAAGGATAGTGAAGGGAAACTGCAGATGGGTATATAGCAATGCTTGCTAAGCTGGGGAGGGTATTGTTTTGCTAATTCTGTTTTTGAGAACTGTATAAATGCTGAGTGGGGTGGGGGACCTTAGAAGTCATTGTGTGGTGCTAGACAGTGAGGTGAGGAGAGGCCTAGGAGTAGGTGCCACTGAATGCAGGAGCCTCTAGAGGCTGAGGTGTTTAAGAAGAGTTACAAGTATCTGTGTTGGGTTGTTACTCAGGGGCTGGAGACTGGGCTAGTGATTAAGAAGAACAAGAAAAAAATTGGGGTACACAAATCAGATTCTGTTGGCCTTAAGAGAGTATATTACATTGGGTGGGGGGTGGTGGAGGGAGGTATAGATAGGGGAGGGTATCTGAATACCATCAAACTATATTGTATGAAAATCACAAAAATTTAATCAAGAAAAGAAAACATGAGAAATGGAGAAGGATTAATTAACTATGAGGGACTTTAAAAAGCAGAATGTAAGGTGGAAGGTTTGACGAGATGTAGAAGGTGAAGGAATCTGAAGAGCAAGGAGACCGGAGGTGCTGTGTTGGTTTTTCTCAGCATAGATCATATTTCTTCTTGTAAGAGGGTCTGGAAAGATTTGAAAACTTTAAAAAAAAAAAATGTGTGCTGATTTTTCCTGTCTGTATCAGTTAGTGAAGTGTCTTCTCTCCAGTTTAACCCTCTCAGTAGATAGGCATTGGCAGACAGTTTAATAATTGTTTTTTGAAATTGAAAAATATTTAAAAGATAGCTTAAAATTTGATGTTTCCAGTGTTAGTACTTTCAATCTTTTTCCTATAACAAGTTTAAAAAATATATAATAATAAAATCCTAGACTCAGGTTGGCATTTTAAGTGTAAAAGAAATAGGTACAAATATTTTAAGTAAGTTTTTATTCATGACTTTTTTGCACAGAAAACATTAAGATACATTACTTGTATCTCCTCATTTTGTCGAAAGTCTAGGTTAAAATAGTCATACAATAAATAGCCTTTTATGAAAATTTTCTGTAAATCATTTTGCGGAAACCTCCTTTCACATTGTAACCTTACCTGGTTTTCCACTAGATGGCAGTGGACACCTGAAGGAAACCGGGGTGGGCTTTAAATTCATGTTTTATTTAACACACACAAGCAGAAACCGATGAAGCCGCTACGTTTAATAGATTATTATTGTTGTTCTAGTGGGGTTTAGGAAAATGTGCCACTTCCCCACGTAATCAGACATCTGGCAATTCATTATAATCTTATGCGGTACATGGTTTTATGGTATCTGTGATCTTGAAATAGGTTTTGAATTGTTTCATTTGGAAACAGATCAAACCTATATCTGTTCAGTGATTTATGACTTTAATAATACTGATTGAATATTGAAAACTTCATATTTGTTTTTCTTATTAGCTGTGTATGGATTTTGGTGACTAAATGTATTTATTTCTTGCTTTCAAGTAGAGCTCTAATATGATGTTAGCTTTATGAGATTACAGCTCCTGGTAAGCATTTGTTATAACAGAGCATCTTTTTTGTCTTCTGTCCTGGGTGATGAAAGAATACTAAGAAAACAGAAAACAAAAGCAAAGCAAGACAAA